CAGAAGTGAGAAACATGGGAAGAAAGCATTTCAAGAAGACTCTGGTTTAATTAACTCACTGTAACTCTGTCTGGGAACTCACTCTCACAGGTTCCAGATTCTGTTTTTACTGCAGACAAATGTTAAAGACATCCTTCTGAAATCTATGTTGGTTTTGCTTCCTTGGTTTGCCGTTTTTTAGAGCGTGATGCCCAAGAGCTCTAAATCTGGAGTAGCTTTGGACTGCCATTTCATACACATCAGGAAGAATCAATGCATAATGGAAGTCATAGCCTTATGTGTGTTGGGTTTCTATTTCCACTGCCCTCAGCCAGCATGATCAAGTTGGAACATATCTGGAAATACCAGTTTGAGGATGACTAGATAAGAACATCAGAAGTTTCTATGATTTCATCTAATCTAGCCAGTACCTCTGGGACTTGTAGGCAAGGCACAGAAAAGAGTGGTTTATCTGATGCTTGTTCTATGTATCTGATACAATACTGGAATGAGTCCATTGGAGTTGGGCGGCTAATAAATTCAAATAAATAAATGTACTGATTAATGCATAGTTCCTTAATGAGCGGAAGCCACAAATTTTAGATAGCTATTCAAGTGCTGTTTCATTCAACTCTGTTGTTTTTTTGTTCCCAAGGCTTAATTGATAGCTCAGGCCTGCGACTCTTCTATACCCCGGAGCTGCGTCCATACGACATGGGGGTGCTACACACAGGAATTTACACCTTTCCTGTTCATTTCATTCCCCCTCGAGCAGATTCTTTCTTGTCTTATGGCCTCTGCAATACCAGTCGGTTTGACGAGGTAAGCTTGGTAGCCCTTAGCCCACTCCATCATAATCTACCAAGACACCCAGGTCCTTCTCACAAAATGTACCTGCTGATTTAGGTACCACTTATCTTGTACCTACATTTGATTTTTTGTACCTAAGTATAGAATCTACCTTTTTTGCCACTGAACTGCTTTTCCTTGGAAAATTATATTTTCAAGTTTACCGAGATCCTTTTAAACCTTGATCTTGTCTTCTGAGGTGTTAGCCATCCTCCTCACCCCAGCTTTGGGTCCTCTGTAAATTTCCTGAGCACCCCTTCTATCCTCCTGTCTAAGTCATTTAAAAATGTTGAAGTACACTGGGCCCAGGACAGAACCCTGAGGTATCCCACTGCATTAAGGACTATGCATTGAGTACAGTTGTTCAGCCAGCTGTGAATCCATCTCATAGGAGGACCGTCCATTCCACATTGCTCCATTTTATAAAAAAGGATGCTACAGTCAACCTTATTAAATGCCACACTAAAGTCTAGATATACTACATTCACAGCATTCCCTTGGTCTACTAATCTAGTCACTTTGTCCAAAAAAGCTATAAGATTAGTCTGGTACAGTCTATTTTTTAAATACCCATGCTGGCTTCTAGTAATCACCTTGTTCCTTTCTAAATGCTTGCAAACCCACTTCCTGATTACCTTTTCTAGGGTTTTCCCAGGTACTGATGTCAAGCTGATTGGCCTTTAGTTTCCTGGGTCCATTTATTTTCCTATTTTTAAATATTGGAGCAATCTCTAGGCTCTTTTCCAGGCTTCTGGCACTTCTATCGTACTGCACCTTTCTCAAGGT